TGCATTAAAATCAAAGTGTTAGTTGCTCAGTTGTGTCCAACTCGTTGCAACCCCATAGACTGTAGCCCACCAGGCTCCTTTGTCCATTGGATTCTCCAGGCAGGAATACTGGTCCTCTGTCCATGGAATTCTCTAGGCAAGAGTACTGGAGTGGGTTGCCATTTCCTTCTCCAGGGGATCTTCCTGACCCTAGGGTTGAACCCAGGTCTCCCTATTGCAGGCGGATTCTTTACCTTCTGAGAATTATCCTTCCTATTTTGCTTCCCAGGTGGCGCTAGTGGTAAAGAACCCACCTGCCAGTGCAGGATAGGTAAGAGACTCGGGTTCAGTACCTGGGTCAGGAAGATCCCCTGGAGGACGGCATGGCAACCCATTCCAGTAACCTTGCCTGGAGAATCCCATAGACAGGGGAGCCCTGTGGACTGCGGTCCATAGGGTCACAAACAGTCAGACACAATGAGCACGCGTGCAGGCATCCTTCTGATTACTATGTTAATGTAGGCCCTACACTGCAGGCAGATTCATCACCATCTGAGCCACCAGGGGAATTCCCTGGTTGGTGTATACCCATTGCACTGAAATTCACATAGGATTTGTCTAAACTGGGAAATATGTGCTGTGGGTTTATAAAGCAGTTGGTGAAATTTGAATTCCTGATTCATGCTGGATGCAGTTATGAAAAGTAAGGACATACCGTGTATGTCATTGATTTTATAAGTGTTTCTTAAAGAAGCTTTCTAACTTTGGATTAATTTTCCTGTGATTCTATTAAATACTTAATGCATTAAAACTGGAAATGAAGACCATACAGACTTAACTTTAGGGCATGACAATTTTGTTAAAAAAATTTTTTTCAGACAAAGGTAGGAATGATTTATCAGTTCTGATTTTTCCTAAGTAACCTTGGATTTTAACTAGCATTTAACAGATAGAACCCGAGGAGTACTTTAACAGTCATTTGTGTTTTATTTGTATAATTCAAGATGACAGGCTAGCACTTTTCAGAGCTTAGCATAGTCTGGAAATATTCATGCCATCTGAATGGTTTCCCCATGGATTAGAGGTGAAAAGGTTCTATAGCAAAGACCAAGGAATCCAGAGTAGTTTTATTTTCAAATGTTAATTCTTATCATTTTTGCTATGAATACTAAGAAACCACTAGGGAGTGGTGAGAATCTTTTCACGATTAACTGGTCTAACCTAGAGGAAACTTTAGGAGAAGCCCCTAGAATTACAAGAGTAAGAAACCTGAACGGTGAGACCTGAAGTTACAGCAGCCATTGACCAAGGGTTACTTTGCTTCCTGGCCTTGACGCCCTTCTTCTTCTTCATAAGAATCATAAACATTCTCACTGTTTTTATAGGACCCTTTTTGGAAAGTCCACATATGCAATGCTATCTTTATCTTGTTGGTCATTTTATTAATATGTAGAGAAAGTGTGATAACTGTTTCCATTTAAAATGAGAAATGGAAATTTGACAATGAAAAGGTGCAGAGTTTATCCAAGTGTTCTTTGTTACTCTTTTATGTTATCCATTGTAGGACTCATTTCTCTTGGCCTCTTGTTTTTTCCTCTTCATTTAGTCCTCCCACACATTAAGTTTTAGAATGAATTTCACTATCCCTGAGCCCTCCAATGAGAGATTCTTTAGTCAACCTTGAGTTATATATAATTGTTAAAAAATCATAAAAAAGGATTTTAAATTCAAATCAAAGTTTGCTTTTGGAGCTCTTCTTTTACCAGACCTGAAAAGACCATAAAATATAAAATCATTGTCGTTTTGCAAACAAGTCAGAAGAACTTATTTTATCTAAAATTGATGTCAGAATTGCATACTCAAATTGCAGCTTAGTTCAGGTACGATAGTGGTCATCAAAGCTGATCTTCATATATACCATGAAGTCTCTGCCCATAAGTCAGCCTCATAACTAGAGATATAAAGGAGGGTGACAGACATAGGTTTGAGTCACGATGTGGCTGTGTGACCTTTTGACGGTTACTTACACTCTCTGAGCTTATTCAGCTGTAAAGTGTAACCTACCTGGAATGTCCTTGTGAGAGTATGAGCTGCTTTGTACAAAATACCAGGCAGATGATACTTCAATTTTTTTTTCCATATTTTAGTTAACTTTTCAACTAAAGATTTTTAAAATGTTATACTTGACAATACAATGAAACTTAGGCCAGTTCAATTATCTATGTGTTTGTATATAAAAAGTTAAAAATTGACTTAAAGTGAACTTCTCCAGACATTTTGTGAGTATTTACTACATGCCTCACAAGGCTGCAGGTGCTGGGAGTACAGGGTGAAAGGAGCAAAACCTCCAAGTCTACAGAGTCTGGTTGGAGAGGAGATAAGTAAGCCGATACTTCGGAGGCCTGCTCTCCTTAAAGAATGCAAGTTGGGTGGGATTCTCATCAGAGGAGGTGTCCTTGAGGAGGAGGAGTTTAATTGAATCTTGAACAAGAAAGTGAGTGCAAGAGTGTCAGGCAGAGAGTTGGGGAAGGGGTTTTCACAGAAGAGAGAACAGTGGAGAAGAGAGATTAAAAACTGGTAGAAACTTGGCATGACTGAAGAGGGTTTGTTGTTGTTGTTGTTGTTGTTTTCTGGTGATATAACAAAGGCACAGATCATAAACACCCCGTGTGTTATGCTACGTTTAATTTTTATTCTGGTGTTACTTAGGGGAAGCATGTGAAAGAATTTGTGTCAGCAAATGACTTTAATCAAACACATAGCTTAGAAAACTCTGACTTCACTTAGAAAGCTTTACTAAACCAGTTTTTTTCTGGTATATTTCATTCTAGTTCTTTCTAGTCGTATACTGACTTGACTTTCATATCAGAGGAAACAATTATCTTGTTAATCCTGAGACTGGCATCACATGGATGTTAGGCACTTGCATATTTATGACCTTTCTTGCAGAGCTGTGTAAATCGCCATGCAGATCTTTAAATTTTAGTAGCTCCCAGCAGTGAGATACCAAGTTCATCACATCTGACAGTCTCATTTCTTAATTTAAAGCGTGAGGCCACAGAGGGAAATTCTGCTCCTGGGTACCATCCAACACCGCAAGCCTTTTAGCACAGTTGGCACAAGGCTGTCACAGACATTTGTTCCAACGCACGTCTCATGTGATGAGGCTGCTTCATCATAAGTATATCGTTCTCGACAGTGAGCAGTAAGAAACCACTGGTGGATGCGTTTTACATTGCACGTCACCCAGTTTCTTTCTGCAGCCTGATTTAGAGACGCAAGAACATTTGCTCAACATAGCCTTATGGAGCCTCCTGGTTCTTTGGCCTTGATTCAGACAAATAACAGCAGTCTGTGTGTGTTGCACATCATCTGCCCCCGTTTCTGGTTATAAGCAGGAAGCATGTTAGGAGTCCCAGCCCCTGAGGCTGGCTTGGGTGTTCTCTGGGATTCTAGGCTTAGTCTCTCGAACTTGTTTAGGAAACCTTCACTTCCCTTCCAGGCCATAGGCAGTGCACTTTTTCTCCTGTGTGAGCCAGCCTCCCAGCCAAGAAGCAGTCTTTTTCCTTGTCCTTGTCCCTGACAGCCCTTGGCTCTGCCTAAATTCCTGACTCTGACCTTGCTTGGTGCCAGTTTCTCAAGACGCAAATCTATGAAAGCAACATGAAAGTATCACCTAACAGTGTTTTGAACGAGTCAAATTATCTAACAGAACCAACTAAGAGATGTCGTGTCATGGGGAAAAAATGTGTGGTTTGGAGTCAGACGGTATACCATTTGTGAAATTGGATCTCCCAGATAGATACCAACGTACTGGTTACTGCACTGGCTGTCTTTCACGCGTCGCCCACAGCCCGTCAGAGAGGTTTCCACGCAGAAACCGGGCCTTTGAGGGCTGGCGCGCATGTCCCGGGTACATGCCTCTTACAGGGAGGTTGTGGGACTCAGCTCCAGATATGTCTTTCTGCCTGTGCTCCTTTGACCATGAAACACTGTCTCTCAGCAGTGTCTTTAGATAGAGTGAATGTTTTATTAAATAATGCGTTACCCTGCTATAGTGCTTTGAGGTTTATGAAGTGCTTTCATTTATGTATCATTTGATTTACAGAACAACTCTGGGGTAAGTATAACGATCCCTGTTTCACAAGACAGAAAACTGAGGCTCTGTAAGTGCCTCTTACAGGGAGGTTGTGGGACTCAGCTCCAGATATGTCTTTCTGCCTGTGCTCCTTTGACCATGAAACACTGTCTCTCAGCAGTGTCTTTAGATAAAGTGAATGTTTTATTAAATAATGCGTTACCCTGCTATAGTGCTTTGAGGTTTATGAAGTGCTTTCATTTATGTATCATTTGATTTACAGAACAACTCTGGGGTAAGTATAACGATCCCTGTTTCACAAGACAGAAAACTGAGGCTCTGTAAGAGTAGGTGATTTGAAGTAGTTTATAAATGGCAAAACCAGTATTCATAGACTTTAGAAAAAGCCACAAGAACTCTGTCAGTGGGATGCACTTGCATTGTTCCCCCTGCTAAGGGCGGACATTGTGTCCTGTTGGTTACTGTGGCCAAAGATCTATTAATTACGCTGATCCCCAAATGGGAAATGCATATGTTGTTTTAGTCCAGTTCCAGATTTCCACTGCTTTAGCTTTGGTTTACACACTCTTCGTGTAATGCTTACTTTTCTACCTGAGTACATAGAGTACGTTCCAAGGATGGACATACTGAATATATATATATATCTGCCTCCCAGGGTTGTTTCACATTGGGCAGCTAACAGACAAATTTCTCGTTACATGTGTTTGTTTTCACATATGAAACTGTTCTTTGCTCCAGTCTTCATTATGATCTTAAAGCTGATGTGGTTATAATGATGGTGTATCGGTGGTGTATATGGTGTATTGTACTCTTCTTGACTTTGTTTTCAAATACCTTCCCCTCCCCACCCCTCCTATGGGGAGAGCTCTATGCATTTTAGTAGTTGAGTCTTTACTTACAGTTACTTTATTTTCTTCTTCAGGTTTTGTGATGAAGGCACCTGTACAGATAAAGCCAATATTCTCTATGCCTGGGCAAGAAATGCTCCCCCAACGAGACTCCCCAAAGGTATACCTGAGGCCTCTTGGATAGTCTTATATTAAGCTGCTTAGTTTTTGATTCCAAAGTATTTTTTATTATATGTTCTTTCCAACAGCTGTTGGCCATGTTCTATGTTGTAATTTCACACTAAAGTACCCTTACTACCTGCTTGTATTGAATAGGTTTCATTTAGGTAGTTATTCTTCCTCTGCCTCTGTTTGGTAAGTAATTTGATCACAAAACAGTTTAGATAGAATTAGAAAGTAGCTGGGTATACCTCAAATCACCTTTGGCCTGAGGCACATTCGTCCTTGACAGCAAGAGCATTCCACGAGCCAAGAGAGCCAGGAATTAAGTAAATCGCCATTTCAGCAAACAAATTTTTTTTTTTTTTAATAGTTCCAGAGCCTGGCTATTTAATGTTATGCCAAACCTCAGCTGGCTCTCTGAGTTCCCCTCTGAATTGTTCATAGCTTCCAAGGTGTGAGAGAACTACCAGAGTCTCCTTTATTACCAGGATCTCTCTTAGTATCAGAGTGAATGTGTGGTCCTGAAGCCAGAAGGACTGCCGTGGTTCAGGGATGGAGTAGTGGCATCTTGCAGTGCCTCCCTAACTGCCGCCTGCACTAATTTTTATTTTTTTTAATCTTTTTAGACAGCTTTAAAGGTTACTTTCTATTTATAGTTAGTACAAAATATTGCCTAAATTCCTCATGTCATGTAAGACTTGAGCCTTGAGCCTCTCTCGAGCCCTACAGTTTGATGTCTGTTTTGCTTTACTTCAAATGAGTGCAAGAATATTCTTTAGAGTTTTTCCAGGCAGCCACTACCAAACAAGTTTGGAAATTAAACGGAAGGTTTGTCATAGATTTGTTGATGTTTTTAAGATACATTAGTAGAGAAGGTAAGATATTTTTTCTCTGACTGTATTTTCTCTGCAGAGTTTTTTTTTCTAGTTTACTAGCAAACTTTGCTAGTAAGACTCTTAGGAACCCTTCAGATTCCAATAATTTATTGACATCATAATCTAGTAAGTAGTTGGTTTCTTCAGTGATGTTTTTGCAAATACCTGTTTTCACATGGGAAAAAAAAACAATTCCCCTGAGATGATCTTAAGAAGTCTAATTTCCTGTATTCCATCAGAGTAAAAATGGATATGTGAGTGAGTGAAAGTCACTCTGTCCTGTNCTTGTATGAAGTGAAGTGAAAGTTGCTCAGTGGGGTCTGACTCTCTGCGACCCCATGGACTGTATAGTCCATGGAATTCTCCAGGCCAGAATACTGGAGTGGGTAGCCTTTCCCTTCTCCAGGGGATCTTCCCAACCCAGGAATCGAACTGGGTCTCCTGCATTGCAGGAGGATCCTTTACCAGCTAAGCCACAAGGAAAGCCCAAGAATACTGGAGTGAGTAGCCTATCCCTTTCTCCAGGGGATCTCCTGACCTAGGAATCGAACCAGGGTCTCCTGCATTGCAGGCGGTTTCTTTACCAGCTGAGCCACAAGGGAAGCCCAGATATATGTATATGTAGAACTAATTCACTTTGCGGCAGAGCAGAAACTAACACAACACTGCAAATCAACTATGCTCCAATTCAAACTAATTTAAATAAGCAAATAGATGCCTTCACGTGGATTGCGATTTCAAATGTCTGCTACTTATCTTAGCAATTCGAAAGGCTGCTGTGCTGGTTGTGGCCATTTCTATGATCCCCTCCTTCTACAGTGATAGAACTGACAACTTTTCATAAGACATGTTAACTACTAGGAACAAACACTACATTTTCCAGCTTCCCTTGCAGCTGGTGTGAGCGCATAATTAAATTCTGACCAAAAGACCGAGCAGAAATGATGTGTACCATTTCCAGAATGTGACCTCCTCTTCCCTCTTTTTCCTCTGCCATCGGCTGGAATGAAGATAAGGAAGTAAGCAATCCTGGATCTTGAAGGAGAAGTAAAGGAGAAGACAGGCTACAGAGATAGTGAGCCTGCCCTGCCAACCCTGTGTTGCAATGCCCACACAGTCATGATAGAAAATTAAACCCCTATCCTATTAAAGCCATTGTTATTTATTTGAGGTTTCTTTTTTAGCAGCTAAGTCTTTGCCAGCAGCCTAATCTTTGCCCAAACAAATGTAGAAAGCTCCAGACTGAGAAATTAACTTAAAAGTGTTCCTGGGCTAATTACATTTGTAGGGTATAAAACAAAAGCAAATTTTATCTGAGGGGTATATGATTTGCCTGTATAACTTGCACAGGAGGAACCCAGATAAATGAGTATTATCGAGACATAGATAACAGACAAGGAAACAAGACACCATGAGTAAGAGACTCAAAACAATAACAACAAACGACAGCAGAAAGAAGATAAGGAGCAGATTTAAACCCAAGAAATTTTAAAGATGGAATATTAAATATATTTAAAACATTTAAAGAATGAGAATAGAACATGTGAGCAAAGAACAAGATATTACTTAAAAAAAGAGTAGACAGACTTAGAAGCGAACCAAACAACTTTTATAAATGAAAAACATAATGATTATTTTTTTAAATGGACTGTTAAACTCCACATCAGAGTTGACAAATTAGACTGTCTGAAGTAATCACAAAGCAAGCAGCACAGACACATGCAGAAAAAGAATATAAGAGGCCAACACATTTCTAGTCATAGCATTAGAAAAAGAGAATGAAGAAATACAGTATTCGAGGAGATAATGACTAATAACTTTTCAGAACTGATAAAAGACAAGAATTTTCGGATTAAGAAAATGCAGCAAATCCAAACAGGAAAAAAGAAAGAAACCCACTTCTGGACACAGAGTAGTAAAAGGAGCCAACGTCTGGAAACAAGATGGGCAAACACCACAGTGGTGCAAAAAGCCAAAGGACAGTGCAACACGATTTCATAGGAGCTGAAGAAAAGCAGCTGCCAGTGTGAGACTGCACACTCAGCTAAAATATGCCTCAAGAGCAACCTCACCCTGTACTTCACCCTTGCTCCTGCACTATTCTGCTGTTTACCCAGCTTGTTTCCAGATACTGGCTCCTTTTACTACACTGTGTCCAAAACTGGGTTCCAACAAACAAAATCTGACTAACAGCCCCCCAGCCAATAAAGGAACGCCTAAAGAATATCAAGGAAGAAGGAATGAACAGCAACGAAAATGATAAGCATACAGGTAAATCTAAACCTAACACTGACTATAAAGAGTGGAAATCTAAGGGGCATAAAAATAGAAATAAAGTATCAGCCAATAATGAAGAAATGTATAAGATCCTGATATTTGAGGGGAGATGTAAGAAGATGCTGACAGGTTTTTCACTTTGATGAGCTATGTATACACACTAAAAAAAAAAAGTTTGTGAATAACTTCAAACCAGTGCATGTTTGATAGAATGGAGGAGGAGCATGAGAGGAAACAAATGGGAATTTTTAAAATCCAATCAATATAAAAGAAAGAAAGAGTGGGTAAGGTGAACCAGGAAGAATAGGAATCACAAAATAACTTGGTAGAAATAAATCCAAACTGCTCCTTAAAAAAAGAGAGATTATCAAATTAAACTGAAATAAATAAAATGCATCTATAAGTTTTACCTAAACCAAAAGAACTCACAAAGGATTGAAAAAGATATAGTATGCAAAAAACAAAAAATAAGGACTGGCATTGCTTTATTATCAGACAAGATATATCTAAGGCAAAAAACATTACATAATAAGAGGATTACTATTATCAAAGTGTCCCTAAAGATTCAATTCACTGCAGAAAAAAATAACAGCTCTGTGCCTTGAAAACATAAGAAGCAAAATTTCTTCACATTTCTCTCAGTAACTCAGCAGATTAAAAGTTAGCCAGTATCCAGACAATGTGAACAAAACAACTAAAGTTTTATTTAATGGACATATAGAAAACTCTGCAACCAAAATTAGGGAGCACTTATAATCCACGAATACATGGAGAATTTTATGAAATTGACACATACCAAGCTTATGAACTTTAAAACTATTTCTAAACAAATGACAAATCAAAGAACAAGTGATGATGGAAATAAAGGACTCAAAACTGAGTAAGAAATTATACCTCTCAAAACATATGGAATGCATTCAGCTAAAACAACACATAGAAAAGTATAATCTTAATTGCTTACTAAAAAACGCTGGAAAAATAGAGGCTGAAAGACATCAAAAGTAGATGAAATATATATGTAAGACTGGAAATTAATGAAAAACAAAACAACCCAAAGGTACAAGGAGGATTTAAAAGTCAAAAGTTGATCCTCTAAAATAAACAGGCTATGCAAAGGATGGAATATCAGAGGCACAAATTATATTAAAAATAAACAGGAACTCTACCTGCAAATACAGCAGTGCTTTTAAAAATAATAAGCAATCACTATGAACAACTTTTGGCAATTGAAAAACTCAGAAACATATATCTCCTAGAAAAAGGGTTTAATATTCATAATATAAATACAATTCATAACTCAAGGAGCTTCCCTGGCTCAGATGGTAAAGAGTCTGCCTGCAGTGCAGGAGACCCGAGTTCAAGCCCTGGGTGGGGAATATCCCGAGAAGGAAATGGCAACCCACTCCAGTATTCTTCCCTGGAAAATCCCATGGACGGAGGAGCCTGGCAGGCTATAGCCCACAGGGTCGCAAAGAGTTGGACACAACTGAGTGAACATGTTCCATCCATAATTCAACAACAGAAAGACAAATAACCCAATTTAAAAATGAGCAAAAAATCTGAATAGACATTTCTCCAAAGATACAAAATGGTCAACAAATATCTGAAAAGATGTTTACCTTCAGATACTAGGGAAATGCAAATCAAAACCATGATGAAATATAACTTCATACTAACTAGGATGGCTATTACAACAATGAAGAAAAAGCAAAAAACCCACAAGTATTAGAATGTGCAGAAACTGGAATCCTCATATATTGCCGGTGGGAATTTTAAGTGATAAAGCGACCAGGGAGAACAGTGGCACTGATTCCTCAAAAAGCTAAACATAAAATTACCACATGACTCAGCAATTTCACTCCTAGCTATATATCTAAAAGA